TGCCCTTCCCCATCCTTTCATAAATTCTCATTCTTGTTTGGTTCTCGCTTTTTATTTTGGCAAGATAAAGGCGGACAACATTCTCATTCTTGTTTGCTTCTTTCACAAAAATCCACTAATTCATCATCATCATTACCTCAGTGCCGCAAAGGCTCCCATCTACGACGGGGTAAGGGGGGGTCGGATGTATGTAGCCTTACCTCTGTACTAAAGTACATAGAGGCTATTTCTGAAAGATCCATAGTGAAAATCGCATCAAAATTACATAGAGTGACTGATACTTCATAACAAAGAAGCGCAGAGAGTTTAATGAGCCATTTTGCTTTATTCAATCATATTCTCAAGTAAAAAAAAGTGAGTTTAGTGGAACTAAAATCCAGTAATTAATCATGTAAAAAATTACCACGTGATTCACTATTTATTAGCGTACATTTAAGAGATTATGTTTTTCTACTATGACTTCCTAAAATGCTCTTCTCACTCTTGGTAAATTTTACGATAAAATACACTATTTTGACATTGTTTAACACTTTTTGACATTGGTTTCCTACCTCTAGAGAAGGGCTATAGTGCATTTTTTTAAGGATTTTCTCAGTGGAAGGGTAGCCGTTTGGCTCTCATTTTGCAGTTTTTGAGTTGCTTAGTAGAAGTGGTATTGATAGCATGGTTTTCATGGGTTGTCTTCTTCCCGGGTTGCTGACCCCGCTTAGGGTGAATAGCCACGTGGAAGTGAGGTAGGAAGTGATGTCATTTCTTGTTTGCAAAGGAGTTTGAGAAAAGAGAATTCTATTATGGTTTGACTAAGATTACCTTTGGGTGCAAAGAGAATGCAGCGTTCCTAGGTGGGGGTGATTGTAATTTTTCAATACTCAGAAAGAATAGGAGAAGGAGAAGGAGAAAGAGAAGTAGAAGGAGAAGGAGAGTTTAGGGTGGGATTGGATGTAGGAGGATTACACCACCTCTACACCGGGATAAATCTCTGTGTCATCTGTTTACAATAACTCCCAAGCACACACTCACTACTATTCATACAATAACTGATATTCTGAAGCTTAAAATAGTCATCTATTTGCATTAAAACAAACCCAGTTTGTATACCGAGTTACGTTGAACATCTTACTGTCGTGTCACCTTAAGACCAAGCAAGCTAGACCAAACGTCGTCTTAGTTTCATAAAATCTTCCATTATATTTTTCTTGAAGTCAGTACCAATCGAAAAACAATCTAATTTCTCTAATGTAAAGCGGCCTCAACAACACCCTGCCATCAACCTATTGGTGACCCTGTTGTTAAGCTTACTTTCCAACCAACTCTGTGACATTGAAGTGATTTGTTGTTCCTTCTATCTTACCACAAAGATTGTAAAAACTCTTAAACACATTCTACTACAGAAAAAGGCCTTTGAAACACTCCTCGGTCAACGAACTATAAATAGAAAGTTATTCTTTCAACAAAAGAAAAGTGTGTAAAGTCACTGTCGAAAGAGGTCAAAGACTTCTGACGTGCATTCTATAACCTCTGAAAAGGTTTAGAATACTTTGAAAGAGGGAAAGGGATTGAAAAATGAAATGCTTTAAAGTCTAGTCACATCCCCCCAATAGACTTTTACCTCTATCATGGACCATCAGATGAGAATAACTTTTTTCAATCACTTGTTTGAAATATTTTTATGGTCCAAATGTTAGATCCAAAATCATCTCTTTCATTTTAAAAATATGAAAACAACAACTTATCCGTTATTATCTACGTAGTATAAGATAAGGATAATATATTATATAACCTAATCTAGCAAAGCCATTAAGGAAAAGATCATTAAAGCAATTCATAGTATGTAAATTGAATTGCATAAACCATGAAGACAATTATAAATTTAAATAGTTCTAACTCATTTTATTTTACAGACACGTATATTTATTGATTTTGCAAACCCTAGATTTGATTGAATCCAATCAAAAGCACAATTTTGAAAACCTATCGTGTTTATAATATCATTTAAAAGTATGAATTGAATATATGTGCGATGTCGATATCATATGTATGATTTTATGCACATGGATCAAATTAATATATACACATTGATGTGCACTTATAGATTGGTGTATGAGCATACCCCAGGATTCCCGGGAATGTACGTAAATGCTTCCGCTTCAACTACTTATATCTTGATTGAGACGGAGGATCATTTTCCTTTTAATCGTTTGATGCGCGTGAGCTTTAGTTCAAATGACAAGTTGTATCTGCAACTCCTTAAGGAAAAGGGGTAAGAGAAAGATGAGGGTTTTCAATCCCTAGCCATAAAAATGGAGGCGGCGAAGGGGGTCAATTATGTTGGTCAGTCGTCATCTATAGAGTTAATTCATGGAACCATCTATTTCCATATCATCTTGTTGATGTTTATGATGATGGCTTAAATGCATATTTGGATTTTCAAACCGAACCAATTCAATAGAAGTATAGTGAATTGAATTACATACTACCTGGATTTTCTATTGAAGAACAACAAATGAGAGGTGCAACTTCAATAAATGGCGTAGGCGGAGTGATTTTCTAGATTGTAGATGAAATGATAAACAGATAGTGTTGAATAGCTCTAGTCGGATCGATTTCAGTGGGCGAAGGATAGATGCAAGTTGGGGATAAAGTCTAGCTTATTAGGGTTCCGCGTTATAAGTATTTTTATAGTAAAAGTAAATTCCAAATAAGTCCATCACATAAGCCCTTTTAGCTTGAATTAGAAGAGAATTTGGACTGATAAAATTACGAAATGGGCCCGAATGATCCATGGCTAAGGTCTATTCCCCCCGGAAAGGTTTTTGTTTTCTTTCTCATGTTCTTTTGCTTTCTGGAAGGGTTGCCTTCTTTGATGAGATTTTGGCCTAGTCCCCCTCATCTCATGTATTCCTTTATTTTAATTAATAAAACCTGGTAAATGTTCCCCGACATTTACCCACACTGATTTTGGTGGTTTGTCTTCTGGGTTAAAAAAAAGGAAAAGTACATTTGTTTGGATGGAAAACAAAAAAAAAATGTGGGGCAGGGATTTTAAGAGGGAAAACCAGTCACCGTAAAAATAACATTTAAATTATTGTTTAGCATCACTATCAATGATTGATGTCGTAGTGTCATAACTTAATGACACTTGTAGGTTTATAACAATTAACAACATAGGTCATGTCTCAGTGACACTATTTAAAAAAGTATCACTATAAGATAATTTTTTACTAGTGGTGTGCCATGAAAGATCAGAAATCATCCATTTTCTCGAAGTGTGGAAGAGATAGACCTTTATGTTTGTCCACAAAGTCAATCACATTGAAGTCCCCTCACATGAGCCATTGTGAAGATTTATTATCATGCCAAGATTGTAAAGTATTCCATAGTTGTTCCCTCTCTTTTTGTGTGTTTAACTTATATAGTAGATTGCCAAATTGTATGTCCAAATTAATATGAGAAAGTGAAACAAGATGTTTATAAAGAAGACATATGTTATCCTTAGGACTCATGCATATATTAGGAAAGCCAAGTTGAAGATTAAAGTAATCACTTTTGAATTGTTAATCACCGGTTCAATAAGAATGAGAAAATGAATCTCTCATCGTTACGAGTTGATCATTGTAATCAATTAGTTGTTCTTGTAAATTTTAACTATTTTATTATAAGTTTAGTGTTCGGTTTTACATCTTATGTTCTTTTGTTTACAAGTTAGTTGTATATATTATCGATGATAGTCATCCCAAACACAATGTGTACTCTGAACTATTTCAGAATTTGCAATTTCTAGATTAGTATGTAATGGTGATTTAGTGTATATGAAAATGGTGATTTTTATCAATTCATGCATGGTCAAGGCCTATGTAGCACCGATACCGATACGCGGAAACGTGGAAACGCGGAAACGGGTACGGGGATACGTCAAAACCAAAAAAAGTAGGATACGGATACGGGGCCATATTTATAAATATTAAAAGTTATGGGGGTGTATTTACAAATATTAAAAGTTATAGGGGTCTATTTATAAATATTAAAAATAGATTATTTTTTTGAATATATATATATAAATACACACATATAATATCCCATGATGTCTACCCATTCATTGCATTGAATCATTTTCCTTTTTCAAGATATTTAATAATAAATTCATAATATTTCTCATGTACACTAGTGCATCTCGAAATATAAATGTAGTCAATAAGTCATTAATTTAAAATGAGAAATTAGTCAAACAAGTACAATATTAAAATTAAAAGTGCAAGTACCCACTTCGAAGTATGTGTTAATGACTTAATTCGGATATAGTCATATAGGCCCATTATTTGATTACCAAGTAAAATGTAGTTTTAGGTTTTCATTTTTTTTTAGAATTTTCATAAGTAAATTTTGGGATTTTTTTTTAAAAAGTTGATACGGGTATCCGTCAGGATACGAGTATCGGAAACTTTCAAAAAATTACAAAAAAAAATGGAAACTTTTAAAAATTACAGATACGGCCCGGGAACGTACAGTGCGGGTATCCTAGAGTATCAGATACGGGAACGTATCCGATACGCCGATACGCTACCCTAGGGAAGTATCCGTGCTTCATAGGTCAAGGCAAATTCAAATGCATCAAGGTTAATAAAATATCGATATATTGTGAAAAAAAGGATAAGGTCGGGCTACTTGTATGGAAAGTAGAAAACCAAAATTGTTTCTTTTAAATTATTATTTGAGAATGACAAAAGTATGGTTGACAAAAGTAAATTCTGGAATGGCAAAAACCCAAAATTTTAATCAATATTTTGTGCAAATCATCACATAATATGCACACTACTTAATAATTGCTACTCAAGAACAACCAGATAGTCATAAGTCTTTAACTACTAGTAAAAAGTGACTTTCAACCTAAACAACATAACTCTTAATGTAAGTGCTACAAATTATGATTTTTGTATTTAAACTTATCCTTTTAGTCGCAGTCAGAAAGCAAAGCGCATTAATAGTTTTTTTCACAAACCGGATGGGACTTTAAAAGAACAGTTGAAAAGGAACAATATCTTATTCTCCCTTCTAAAAAATATACATTGAACACGCACAAATGAAATCTCCCCGCTAAAAATACCAAATTCTCAGAACAATCAAAGGAGACACTACAAAAGAGCTATCTTCAAAGTATTGTTGTGAGCTGCATTCATTAACATCAGTCAATCTTTGAGACCTATACACAATTTCATTCCAAAGTTATAATTAGTTAAGAACAAATAGATTTAAAATTTAACTATTAAGTACTTCGTAGATTACAATTCAAGCTATGAATATGAGACCAAAATGATTAAAGAGTAGCTATATAGACTCAGTAGTTAAACTAGCTATGATGAACAACATATCAAAGATGAGTACTTCTAAGTAGCAATTTAACAACACAAAATTGCTAATTGTACCAATAATGAATGAAATTGGTTCAATAGCAAACACTAAATTCAAACCATTAAAAATAAATTACATAAAAATATAGACACAATGAGTCTTAAAGTACGTAGAAGATATTTGCAAAACAAGTACAAATAGATAGAAATAAACAAGTTAAGGAGGATCATTTTTGCATATGAAGGATTTCTTCAAATCAACTTCTTAATATACATGATTCATTAAAAACAAATACCATGTCCAAAAAATCCTAGGCGAAATATTACGGAGTAGAAGAATAGAGAGGGAAAAGAAAAATTAAATAAGCTTACCTTTAAATATTGTTGATCTTCTTTATGAATTGATGGCTTCAACTTTATAAAAACCGTGATTTGCTTGCACGCTTCTTTAGTTTGGGATATCAAATCGTTCAGAATGACAAAGAAAACATGAAACACATATTAAATTTAACTAATAGAGCGTAGCATTTAGAGGAATCATTTGAAACAGTCAATTGTAATATGAATCGATTTAAAAAAAACTAAAGAATATTGACTTTTTCATTGAGACATTTCAACAAACTTATTTAACCTAAAGATAATTACTCTGTTACGGGTTAGTTCCATCAGATAGAAAGAACTAACGTAGACAAACCGAAATATTTTACTGTTGATGGTTGAGAGAAACCAAAGATGGGATCCTTAATAATGACCAGAAACTTTTGTTTGACCGAATAATAAACAGAAACTTTTGTTTGACCAAATAATAACCAGAAACTTAGTGCTCTTAAATCTCAAGCACACATACCGATGCCAGCTCCTTCTCAAGAGCCTGAATTCTCTCCTCTTGTTCAATTTGTCTCTCCTTCAGTAGCTGAACCTCTTGCATCAGCTTCAAATAAAAAACACTCCGTAACGGTTACATGAATAATAACAAAAGATATCTAGATGAAGTTATAAAGGATAAATGTAGCTACCATTGATAGCATATCCTCAGGAGCTTCAACAAATGGCTCTTCAAATCCTTCAGCATTATCCTCCTGTCCCTCCCATTCCCCAGAATAGACTCCAGGAGCCTCAATCAATGGATAACTACTTGTTTTTTCTTCCTCAATATCCTCTCTGCATGCCTCATGGAGTTCACTTTTGTTAATTGGAGGAGAAGAACAAGATTCCCATTCTCCCCCATTGTAATCCTCTGCCAAGGGTGAACTTGGACCTGAAGATGTGTGCTTTTTGAACAGAGAGCTCCATGATTTCTGTTCAGAGGATGGGTGTGCATCCTTTTGTGGAATCACTTCACTTGTAGATGCACTTTGCAGCTTACCACCATCATAAGGCAAAGGAGCAGTATAACGATTTCGGGGAATCGAACAGCTAGCTTCAATTGTGGGTCTATGGTGATGATAAGGACGAGCATAAGGCTGAGCTGAAGATGAAAACAAGCTGATCATCTTAGCTGTTTGAGAATGGTCCATCTCAAACCAGAAATGGCGTGACTGATCATAGTAGTTGTCAGCAATGATGGGGTAGAACTGCTCTTCCATCAAAGCATAGCATCTCTCAAACATTTTAATATTGACCTTGAAAGACACAGAATGGTAAGATGAACATTTATAGGCATGTATGAATATTAACCTTAAAAGACAAATGGTTCAATCTTGCTAGTACCTGTGCAGGAAAGTCAGTTTCGCGGTCTGCCCCATTAGTCCATGCATATGGGTCAATATTTAGTGTTCCAGGGCCAGCAGCCTCAAATGTGCCCAAAAGCTTCCGGTCACTGTAGTTAAAAAGGAACAGCGGCATGCCAGCACTAACCTTCTTCACATAGGCAAAATGTCCAAATGGCAGCCCTGAACAACAAAAATAAAACAAATATTAAATCAGATTTGCTAGAAATTATCATGAGTAGCATATTGATAAAACTCAATGCATATATACATACAAATGCGGGATTCACCCATTACCAACTATGGTTATACCAAACCAACATAGCAATCAAATACTGTAAAAGGAATCATGGTGGAGAAGTACAATGCATGAAAGAGAGACATAGTGTAAGATCAGAGAAAAACCAAATAACAGCTTCGAAAAACATTCTTCTATTGTATGGCCTTTACAGCCAAAAATGACGGCTCCGAGTTCACTCCTCGGTAGGTTCCGAGCTGGCACGCTATAGTTGTGCTGTTGGATCGGTCGCTGTTCCTTCACTGTCTGGTTTTTATTCTTCTTCCTGGAACCCATTCAGTCAAAGTCTCCTACAAAATATCACACTTCAATAATACACTACATAAGTGATCAATCTGACTAGCTGAAACACAAACAAATACCAATAATCACACAAAGTAAGTTTCACATCGCTGTTATTCCTTTCAAATTTTCAAGCTGACCCAATAGGATGAATTTCTGCCCATACAATCCCGCATTGTTATGCTACAATAATGTGCAGTATGTCAAAACTCAAAACACAGCCGTACATACTTCAACAGTTACAAATGTGTATAAACAAATGTGTATGCCTATTTTAAGGTATCCACATTCTAAGACAGGCCGGAGAAGAATTGTAGGCAGTATAGAATGGGCAAAATGTCATATTATAGGCATGATCATACAATCATACAACAAACATCGCATAGTAGCCGTGATCCTTCAAAAATCACAAAAAGTGTTGGAAAAACAAACTAGTTTCCTGAACAGGAAAGTTAAAGTGAGGATAAAACTGGATGAAAAACGTACTACTTTAGGCAAAAAAAGTGAAGCTGTGCTGCTCTGTCTCCGAGAAGTATGAACTTGAGTAAGGTGTCGTATTGCTGGAAGCAGAGCTCGGAGAAAGAAAATGAGTGTAAAAGAAAACCTGAAACGGGGAGTGAACATTAGAGAATGGAGAACCGGTAAAGACCATTATCGTCCCTAACGGTAGCAGTGAGCCTTATCAACGTCAAAAGTTGCATTCCATGTACCGTGTAGCCATATCCAACAAATACTCTTGGGACCCTTTTTATTTATCAAATTTGATTTATGAGGCTTATCAGCCGACTTTTTCACCAAACAAGAAAATTTTGATTTCACGCGCTGAAATAAGGTTGAAGTTACTTTTCTGGTTGTTTTCGACTGAAGTTACTGTAGAAGACAATTTTAGCTATTTTTAAATATCATTTTTTCTTTACTTTATTAATAAAATATATTTTAAATTTAGTTTTTTCATAAATCGGCCAATACAGTCACTTAAGCCAAACGGGCTCTATGTCTAACTTTCACCGATTATATATTTATATATTGATAATGTGAAAATAATATGAAAATGTTGTTTGTTGAAAATAATGTCATAAAAATATAAACTTGTTAAATTTATATAAATATACAGAGTAATAATTAAAATAGTTGGTCAAATTAATATTCATTCACTTCATGTCGGTGTAATCTTAGTCCTCCTGTTCCCTTCCTCATCCTGTCATATTTTCCAATTGTTTTTTTTGTTATTTCATTCCTTATTCAAACTTTCCGGTTTGAATATCGCGCATATTAAGGAAATACATTTTTTTACTGTAAGTTTTTGAAATGCTCTTTTAATGAGTGCTAGATTTTATTGTGGAATACACTTTTTGCATTTGTTTAGCACTGTTTAACACTTTTTGGCATGTATTGTCATTATTACTTAAAGATAATAGAGTAAATTGATAGATATTTATTTACCAAATAAGAAAATGAGACTTTATTTAGAAACATCCATTAATTAAAGGAAAGTGAAAATTCTTTAAGAGATAATATAAGATAGGAGAAAGTGAAAGTTAAAGCCATCAATTACCCTTTTGGAAGAGGTCTCATTGTATAGTTTTCGAGTTGCTTTGGAGAAGGTGTATTGATTGCATGGTTTTCCTGGGTTGTCATATTTGCGGGTTACTGGCCTTGCTTAGCATGAATAGCCACGGGGAAGTTGGGTAGGCAGTAACGGCGTCTTGTTCGCAAAAGGCTTTGAGTTTCATGAAAAAAAAAGGTGCACCTTGGGATGTCTCAAGCTTGATCGATGATGCCCAATAGGCATGTCACACCACATACAAGACACCTCTTGGGACAATGGCCCAACTCAACTCTTGCATGAGAAAATCATGCCACCTCTCGGTAGAAAAGGAATACAAAGCTCACTGCACAATGGCCCAACTCAACTCTTGCATGAGAAAAGAGGATACTACAAATGGTGGAATTTGAACTCGGATGGGAGGCTTATGGAAAGCAAAAGCATGGCATTGTCAGTAGACATATGGGATGAATATTTAGTAGGGAAGATTCTATGGCTAATTGAGGTTACCTTTAGTGCAATGAGAATGTAGTTTCTTAAGCGGGGGAGATTGTACTATATGGGGGAGTTAAAAAACTAAATGTACTACACATACCAATAAGATTTAGCTTTATACTGAAATTTCTAGGGTTAAATGTACTTATATAGGAATAGTCTTAGGATGGGAGACATCGAGATGTTTCCTCGGCGTAAGCATGAGTGACAAAATGAGCATAAAGAACTATCACCTCAAACCATATGAGATCAGGGTGTCATACAATGAGCATCATTGAAACCATACATAAATTATCATAACACATAAACAACCATTGCTTGCCAATTCGAAGCATAAAAGGCATATTTGTCCATCCGATGATATTAAATTAAACGCTAATTGGTAGGCTTATTTCTTTTAATTCTTAGGATGCGTTTACTTCACGTGTTATTACACGGTGCTTATTAAGCCTCGCATTAATAAGAGGTGCATAGAATAAGCGGTGTTGTAAGCTCATGATTACTTCAAATGATTTAAAACATTGTTTAACATTAAAATGTTCAAAATAACACTATACATATATAGACACACAAACATTCATGAACACAAATATATAATGTAATATGTGGGGGTGGCCTCGTACGCGCAGGGGCGGAGCCAGAAAAGTGTGTGAGGGGGGTCGGAGTTTAATTATACACAGTATCAAAATGATGGATAATTATTATACAATACTTGAATTAAATGTTTCATATATAGATGAGATAAATGATAGTTTAATGAGCCCTTTTCAGTTAATGTATTGATATATATACGTAATGTATCATAATGGTCACACAACTAATGATTGAATAAGGTGTTTTATAAGTATCGGGGACAGAGCCCCACTCTTTATCTGTCAGATTGTGATTATAGTCCAATTTACATCCTCCCATCGTGCCGTCCGGTCGGTGGTGGGGGGCCCTCAGGGATGGGGTGTCATCCTTTTTTTTAATAAGGTGTTTTATTTTTAAATTCAAGAATATAATCAACGTCACACCTCAAATTTTGCTTATTTCAAGTTAAAATGGTGCTAATTTTTCCAGAAGTCATAACTTTTTACTCGTAATGAGTTACGGGACCCATAATATATCAAATCGAAGGTATTTCAGAGATATACATTCTTGAACTTTCAGCGGGGTCGTCTGACCACCCTGACCCCCCCCCTGACTCCGCCCCTGCGTACGCGTACCCCTACCCCCACCCCTACACCCCGTACACCCACCCCTACCCTACACCTACCACCCCCCCAATTACTTGACACCTTCCCTACCCCTACCCTTACCACGATCTTACCCTCTACACCTACTCCCCTACAACCCTCATACCCCTACCCCTTACCCCTACCACCTTCCCCTACCTCGACCCCACCCCGATCCTGATCCCACCCCTAGTGGGTTGGGGATGGGGTGGGGGTATGATGGGGTCGGGTCGGGTTGGAGTCGAGGTGGGGTCAAGGTAGGGGCATGTGGTAGGGGTTAAAGGGGTAGGGTCAGTGTAGGTAAGGGGTGGGGTGGGGTTATGGTCGAGGGTAAGGGTTGGGGGTCGGGGCGGGGTCAAGGTAGGGGTAGGTGGTAGGGGTTAAAGGGGTAGGGTCAAGCAGGGCAAAGGGGTACGAGTAGGTTGGGGGTGGGTAAGGGGTATGGTCGGGGTAGGGTAGGGTAGAGAGTGGAGGGGGGTCAAGGTAGGGGCAGGTGGTACGGGGTAAAGGGGTAGGGTTGGGTAAAGGGATACGAGTATAACAAGTGGAGTGGGGTCTGGGTAAGGGGTAGGGGTGCTAAGGGGTAAGGGTGGGGTCGGGGTAAGGTATGGTTGGGTAAGGCGTGTGCGGGTAGAGGGGTAGCGAGTAGAGGGGTAACAATATTGTAAATGTAAAGAGTAAGTGTAAGGGTAAGGATAAATCCGGAAACTGAAAAAGCTTGCTTAATTAATACATGGGGGGTATGCTTAGTAAGCGTCACTTTAAGCATCTCTTTCGGTTAGTAAACAGCTTGCCTGTTTACTTTGTTTGTCTTACTAACCTTATTGTGACTTTAGCAACGAAGTAAACACCTACTCTGTGTTTTAGGTATTATATTCTTTGTAATTAGATATTGAATGATTTACAAGTATTGTATATTGATCAATATAAGCATTGTCAGGGGAAGCAACCTAGACCACAGCCCAACCCAAATTAAAAAAAAACAAACACCATTATTTTAAGTATAGAAAATTTCTCGCAATTTTTTTTCCAAAAGTATTCTTTGTATTGGTCCAGTTCGACCCTGTGCCCTGACTCCGCCCCTTGAGCATTATAGTGTAAGTTGTTAGCTAAGGTTCGAGGTGAACATTTATGCCCTTGCCTCAATGTTCATTTCACTAGTTATTTACGCATATTGAGCTTCGGG